ACAATTGTATGTATGGATTGTGATAAGAGTTGTATGAGCCCCTAATAAATTATTTAAAAAAAATAAGCAACCCTTCCATCTACTAGAGGTCAACTGATAGCGACCCCATATAGAATTGCCAATGCTATAATCTACACAGGAACTAATAGCCTCACTCTCTCCCAAGGAGCAGTTGGTGGGTTTGAAGCACCAACCTTGCACTTAGCAGCCCAACATTTACCCAACAGCCCCCTTTTCCAACCAAACTCATTGCCATCTAGTCAATGTTGGACTGCAAACGCAAGATGAGCAAATAGGAGCCACCGGCAGCTCTACTCCCGTAAAGACTGAACCCCACAGGGCAGTTCTACTCTGTGCTGTAGAATTGCTATGAACAGCTCCGTAGTTCCCATTTATTAGACTGTTGGGCAAGTGAGAGCTTCCAAATGTACCTTCTTGAAGGTCTCTGAGTTGTTTTGTAGAGTCCTTAAAAGTCAGAAGTCCTTAAAAGTCACAAGAGGAAATTGAGAGGATTAATAAATTAGTGGAAGATTTCCAGGGGTAAAGAGACTGTTAGTCAAAGAAACTTACCAATTGCTAGAAAGTATAGTGGTTTTTTGTTTTGCTTACAAACTAAGAAGTTCCCTTAATATGTTTTAAAATGAGTTCTAGCTGCTGAACAGAAACCTTTCCTCAGATAATTAAGCTCAAGGAGAAAATGGTTTCTAAGTTGCTCCCAAATTACTTGACGTTATTTTAAATAATTCATGGTACATTTCCATTATAGTTTAATAAATAAAATATATGTGTATATTTTATTTTATTATATATTTAATAAACATACAGTTTAATAAAAATAAATATAACAAAAGATTGATAGAGTGGCTATGAGTAAAAATTGACTACATGACAATATTTGTTTGTTTTTAATAGGGCTGGTTAATGCCTTGGTGGCTTAGTGGGATACATGCAGGACTGCTAACCGGAAGTTCAACACCATCAGCTGCTCCTCAGAAGCATGAGGAGGCTTTTAACTCAACAAGTTCAGTCTCTGAACCCACAGGGGCAGTTCTGCCCTGTGCTATAGGGTCCCCAGGAGTGGGAGTGCACTTGATGGCAGTGTTTGGTTTGGGAAGAATACTTTGCTAACTACATCCGTTTCTTTCTTTTTTTTTGTACTCTGTAGATTTTTATTGGCAATTTTTTTCAGAAGTAAATCTCAAGACTTTTTTTCTTACACTATCTTGGTCTGGAAGTACCACTGAAACCTATCCATCATGAGTAACCTTACAGCTATTTGAAATGTTGGCACAGCCCCCAGCACTACAGCAACGCGAATCCACCCAACGTGAATCCACCCAAACTGACATATAGGTAATGAATAAACCTTATAAAGTTCCATTCAAATGGGGAAACTTAGTTAATTTCACACAACCTCAGTTCTCATCCGTTTCTTATCATTGATTTTCAGATCTTTAATAACCAAACACCAGACTAACTGTCATCAAGTGGATACCGACTCACAGTGACCCTATAGGACAGGGTAGAGTTGCCCTGTCGTTTTCCTAGACCCTTATTCTTCACAAGAGTCAAAAACAGCTTTCTCCCAAAGAGCAGCTGGTCGTTTCAAACTGTATGTAACCTACTTAGGTGGCTTGCCTCTGTAATAGAAATGTTGAAAATCCAGAAGCTTCAAATGTTAAGCTATTTTAATTAGAATTATAAAAAGAAGACATTTAGAATATCAAAGGAAATTTAGTATGATGAAAGCTTCCTAAAATTCAAGATACAATAAATTTTCTAAATCACGTAAGAGAAAATATTTTTATACAAATTTTAAAAGTAGTGATTCCTTTAATATACTATCTTCGTTTGACATGCTTCAGTGCTGAATGCTTTTAAGTAGTGCCATCTAGTGTTAATTTTAGAGTACCGTTTTATGGATTAGAAGGTGAGACATTTTGGACCCAGGAAATTTACTAATCAAGAAAAATGTTACAAAAGTCTAAAGAATTGTGACTTGACAACATCCGTTAATAATTTGACCTCAAGATTATCACACATGTTTGCACCTTCAAGGTAACCTGGTGTATTTACTTATACATGAAGTCATCAAATATTATTTGATTAAATGCCAGACCCTGTTCTAGGTATATTTCAAACCCATAAGACGGAGTTGATTCTAGCTCACAGTGACCCAAGGGGAGAGGGAACTGCTCGGTGGGGTTTCCAATGCATACCCACTCAATCAGAATGCTAGTCTCTCCCATGTAGCCACTGGTAGCTTCCAATGACAGACCTTGGCACTTTATAGTTAGCAGCCATGTTATTAACCACTGTGCTACCAGCACTCTTCAGAGAAAGCAACATGGAGACAAATACTCTAGAAGAGTAGTAGTTGTTAACCTAGATCACAGCGGAAGGAATGGAGATGATACTACCAGATTCTGGATATATATTGAAGGTAGAGCCAAAGTAATTTTTAATTGATTGATTATGGTGATAGGAAAAAAAAGAGTAGTTAAGAACAACCCCCAAGATTTTAGGCCTAAACACTACCAGTGGGGAAAACACAGGAGGAGCAAGTTTGGGGTGTGGAGAAGAATAAAACTTGATTGTGTATGTACTGTGTTTGAAAATCTAAACTAACTTGATTGTGTATGTACTGTGTTTGAAAATCTAAACTATCGACATTTAAGTTAGGGGGAAATTAAAGCATTTTCCTTGGTGATTCAATACTTAACCCCTAACCGCAGTCCACTTATTTTAGGAGGATCCGTTTCTCCTGAGGGAGTGGATATGCCTCTCAGATGAGTATTGCTTAGGGTCATAAAATAGTGGGATGAATGTTGATTGTTCAAGGGGGCCCAACTGTTAAAACTTCTTAAGACCCACTAATCCAGTCAGTGCTCAGGAGTCTTGACTTTTTTCTTTCCCATCCCGTTCTGTTCCTAAACTGTTCTCACCTTTGGTGAGATCCTAAAGTACTACAAACAACATCGAAAGGCTCCTGAGCAAGGTCTGAAAGGAGCTGGCCATAAAACTCCTCTCAAACTCACTGCTAGTGAGTTGATGCCGACTCATAGCTACTCTAAGGCATAGCCACTCTAAGTCACTCCAACACGAATTAATTGCTCAGGATGCAGGTCTTTTGTTGTTGTCAGGTGCCCTGGGGTAGATTCCAACTCCTACCAACCCCATGAACAACAGAATGGAAACGCTGCTCAGTCCTGCCCCATCCTCAGTCATTGCTGTGTGTGAGCCCATTGTTTCAGCCACTGTATGAATCCATCTCAATGCGGGTCTTTTACTTTTTCTTTGACCCTTTCCTAAGCATAATGTCTTTCTCTAAGGGCTGGCCCTTCCTGGTGGCATGTTCAAAGTATGTGAGATGAAATGCCACCACTTTGCTTCTATGGAGCCTTCTGGATATACTTCCAAGACAACATTCTGTTGAAACACCTTTCTTTGGAATGGGAAGGAACATCTTTTGG